AAGTTTTTATATATGTAAATGACTTCTCGTAAAATCAAAGAATGGAATGCCAGATTTTTCTTGCACAGCAGATGTCCAACATCCGGCGATGTTATGGAACCCCTATTTGAGAAGTTGATTAAAAGGCAAATCGATAAATTAAAAAAAAAACTCATCGTGTAAGGTAAAAAACCGCTTATCGTCGTTGCGCAAAAGAGCGTTTATACTTGCCAGAAATGCGATTGCTTTACACGGTGGGCAGGAAGCGAAGATAGGTTGCATAAAAATGTCGACAAAATCTGAAAGCAGGGTTGTATTTGTTGATATCTTAAGGTTAAGAATCCGCTTAAATTGAAATCCTAGCTGCTCCTGTTTTAAAGATATCCACATTTTATATACTTCTGATAGGAAAAGAGGAAGGCATACTTCTCGATAATTAGAGCATATTTATACGAAAAGAAATCTCATACAAATTTGTTCCCCTTTTTTAACTCACTAAAACGGATCAAATCAATGTGAAACATTTTCATTTTTTCCTACCGAAAGAATAATTGATCGAGATTTATTGGGCGCTACCGGTATACAATTTAGATAAAACACCACAATTACCTTTTTCTGTAGCGTGAACTTTCTCATTACAAACACTTTCAATAACGCAATATATGTATGTATGTATACAATATTGTATGCTATATAATACGGTAGTAATTTTTTATTAAAGCTATAAGCAAGTAGCGCAGGCAAGTCGCACTGCGCTTGTGCAAGAAATGAAAATGCTCTAACTTAGGCCAACGGTACTCCTCATAATAAGTAAATAAATTCAAAGCTTGTATGAGATTTATTTTGGTATTTATGTACTCTTCTGTCAGGAAATAATGACTATTGTACATCCCGAACACAAATGCGATCATAAAGAAAATCGCACGAAAGTATGCGCTTTGTGTGTAGGGCTGCCAGACGTCCCGGTTTTCCCGGACATGTCCCGGTTTTAGACTATTTGTCCCGGTGTCCCGGTCCAACCTTAAAATGTCCCGGGTTTCATTTAAGTGTCCCGGTTTTCGATTTGATTGCACAACTTTTGCTTAAAAATGATTACGCTGAGAGAAAAAACGCGTTGTAATATTAAGAAAAATTTTATGAATTTACTGGGGGAAATAACTCATAGTAAACATGAATATGTTTTATTTGATTATCGTTTTGAAATGTTCGTACTTAAAAACAATACTTTCATACCACGCACACGTGGTGTTGAATCAAACTGAACATTTGAGTGCACATTTACATGTCTGGCTGTAGCTGAGTGCACGAAGATGCTTGCCACAATTTGCTAATTTCCAGAGCGTCAGGGTTCAAATCCCATTACAGACAGCATGGAATTTAAATAAATTTTTTTTAACATAATTATGAAAAAGCATCCGTTAAGTGCAAAGCGCTTCATTTTAATATTGGCGTATTTCAATTGAATATTTCTATACTAAATACTAAAATTTGCATACTTAAATTATTACGAGTTGGGTTGGTGCTCTTTCATATGCGATTTTTTTTTTTAAATGTAGCACGTTTTGCATAAGCAATAGTTGATGATTAATATAAGTAAGTACCTAAATACGTTAAAATGACATGCACAGAGTTTTACAATTATAGCAAAAGCCAGAAGTTTTGAAACAAGCTCACAGCAACGAAACAAATGACTGATATTTTAATGTTACCTTGTATTTGTTTTTTTTTTCGTGAAACCTAGATTACTTATAAGTACCGTGCCGTACAAAATTATTGGCTCGGAGGCACTTTCATCTGATCACAATTTCTAATCAGATCTTTTAGAAAAATGTTTAAAATGTAGCTTTTGAGCCAATTAGTAAAGTGCAAGTCTGAAGTTACCAGAAAATTTCGTTGATTTTTTGCAATTATTTATTTTTTGCTGACAGTGTCTTCCACATACAAAAAACTGTCGAACATAGTTTGTATGGAAGAAACTCTGAGTAAAAACAATACCAAATATATTGCCTCGTTCAAAGTCATGAGCAAAATCGTGAATACATGGTTTTCCGCAAAACAAGCGGATCTTAGTAATTTTGATAAAAATCTTAACGAACTCCGCACAGCTTTGAAAAGTACTGGAATTTCTCTAACTGTCAAAATCCCTTTTATCCTTAAACATTTAAAGCAATCTATCTCATTCTTGAATAACGATGGTTTAGGATTATGGTCCGAGCAGGCCGGGAAGTCAGTTCATAGGGAATTCATTAAATTCTGGGATAGATTCGCAATAAATATGATTGATAAACCAACTTTTGTGAGTCGCCTGAAGAAAACTGTAATGACATTTTCATTCCAGCATATATAAAAACTTAACTAAATAATAAAATATTTAAATACTAAAATGCGTGACTATATTATATGGTAAGCCAACAAAAAAAAAAATAAAAGGAAACAAAAAACAAATATAAAACAATAAAGCAAGAAAAAAATATAAAAAAATAAAATCAAAAAAAGAACAAAGAGGTGCAAAGTAAGTTGCCTCTACGTGGTGCGCCTTGGAAACGATTGAAACCGGCTAAAAACTTACATAAAATTATATTTTCACATAATATATATACACACATTTACTCACACATACATTGTTGAATATTTAATGCACAACGATGTTTTTCTCTTTCGCAAAAGTCGGTCCTATCATAACTATGTAAAATGTTGATATCTTACAACAGGAGCAGCTAGGATTTCAATTCAAAGGGATTCTTAACCTAAAAATATCAACAAATACAACCCTGCTTTCAGTTTTTGTCGACATTTTTATGCAACCTATCTTTGCTTCCTGCCCACCGTGTTTATAAAAGAGAGAATAATTTTCAAATATGAGTGTTTTAGATCTCTACAAAATAATATATATATGTAATTAAAAGTACTGCTGAAAGAGCGGTGAAATTAATGTAAGATTACATAGCCTTCTAACCAGGGAAAGGATTTTTAGGACCTAAAAATCTATAAAAAGGCAAAATAAAATAGCGAAATAGAAAGGAAAAGGCACTAGAAATACCTAAAAGGGGCAAAAGAAAGCACTAAAAAGACAAAAACTTAAAAATAACACTGGTTAATGGGAAAAATGTTCAACGGACGCCACTACATATCCAATGCCTATATAGAATTGCTTGCTGATTCCGAAAATCGAGTTAATTTTTTATTTTATGGATAAGTTTTCGATATATTTTTATTTATATTGGCCTATGAGTAAAATTCTTTCCTGCTAATTTTTCATACAAAAAATCTTTGCGCATTTTCATATGACCACTTATTACTTCTTTATTTATCCATCGATTTTCTTCATTATCAACTTGTTTTTTTTTTGTAACAGAACAGGCTACTAAGCGTTCGCTCGACGTGAGTTGATACAAGTGGGCGCCCAATTTAAATATGGAAAGGTTGAAACTATAATCACTTTCTTTAAGGTACAATAGGCAAAAAAGGCAACATCAAATGTGTATATCGTCATTTAAAGTACAAAACCGCGTATCAAGAAAATGCAAAACCTCGTATGTGAGGTTGCCAAGATTTTGTGGGAGAGAGTAAAGCTAGTCCTATTTCAAAACGGTTCTCTCTTTTATCCATATTTATCTCTTCTTCTTATATCTAAGTATCGATATTTAAGTATAAATGGATAAGGGCTTGATGCCAAGAGTTTCCGCTGAGCAAATATCATTTTCGGCAAAAGTATCGCTTACGAGGTTTCACAGAACGACGATACCAGGTTTTGTACTTTTAACGACGATATATGGAATCAGGGAAAGCTAATCGAATATACTCTGCCTCTTTAGCAGAAAAAAAAGCAATTTCCATAAAATC